TATTGATTGCCTCATTCTTTACGATTACTCAAGGTTTTCGCAAGAATTCAATTAAAGAATTATTATATCCTTCTACTAAGTGAATTCTGATGGTGTTGTGTTCTCTGAGCTGGGTGGTTCAATCGTGAAGCTTTCATTGTAATTCTAAGCAGTATCATCAGCACAAACTTCAGAAAAAGGTAATAAAACGTCTGAGTGGGTATTCATAGATGCGCAAAACGGCAATAACGCCGATTGAGATACTTGAACTGGATATGAGTAACGCTACTGTTCTGTCTGAGACTTGATACTTCACTGAGGCATGAAAATCAGGAGACATGACCGGCCTGTGACTGTAAGGAAGACAACTTAATTTGACAAAAAAACACTATTTATGTGCAGTTTTGCCTCAGAAAATGAAGCCACTGGGTCACAAGTTGGATATTTATTTTATTGATCAACCAAAAGACAAAATTGTTCATCAAGGTCTTTACCGCTCACACGAAACCAAGGCTGCAATCCAAAACTCCTATTTTAGTGCCTGATGACCTTTAATGCTGCTTTCAGTTTAGACTGCTTCCTGTCAAGTGAAGTATTCTAGACATCAACTGACCTCCGAAAGAAGTGAGCTATAGGGTTTTCTCCACAAGTTGCTTAGTAGCTTGCCCTGATGGCCTTGCATGTGATTGGTTGTTTCTGTCAACGTCTTGTCATTGTCTCTATATTTATTTTGATTGGTTGTCCTTATGACCTGAAATTTGATCTTCTTATGGAGAAAGTCATATAGCTCACCTCTTTCCGAAGTTTTTGCTGATGATGTATAGAGAATGACAATGAAAGCTTCATAATTAAGTCATCCAGCTCAGAGAACACGACGCCATTAAAATTTTCTCCCTGAACTACGAATATTCCGTATCATTTCAACAGTGAATTCTTTTTAAAAATCTTATCTTCTGCAATGGATGTAAAACTGATATTGTATTAAGCTTCGTGTTGATTTCAGTCGAAGTTATTTGTGTCATCAAAGCAGCAAGAACCTGTTCCATGTATTTTCGGATATCTGATGCTAAAGCCTCTACATTGGTGATCTTCTCTTACAACTTTTTCCTGACAATTACTTGTTTCTGCCTATCAGTGACTTCGAACGTAAGGCCACACGCTGACTCAACTGACGTCCACAAACACCAAACCTACATTGAACACCGCTAGATCTTATCTCTGTGTACTGAGATTGGATAGGATCCGTAGGCAATCGGCCCTCTTTTTGAAGTATCTACTTGACATCTGGTACATGTTCACGCTTATTTAGATACAGGGAATAAATAGCGATCAAGCCACTGTTTACTCAGCTGGAAGATAAGGAAGTTAAGGTTTTATTTTAAGGGAGATAGCTGTGCATTCATCTGATCATGGGATGAATTCTCATTGTGATGAAATCTTCTTTTGGATGCGAAACCTCTATTTGACATTTTCAAACCCATTATACTCATTTTGTTGTTGAGATATAAGACTACACTTCAGAGGATGTGTGTACTACTCAATAGTTCGCTCTGCACCACTGCGCGACTGTGAAATATGTCCGTTGAAAAAAGGTATGAAGAAGTTTCAGATTTTTGACCGCAGAAATCTTCAAAACTTTTCTAGTGTATTGTCGAACGACTTTCCGATCGATGTCGAGTTTCCAAGTAGGATATTAAGCAAAAGAAGACAAGTCAGCGGATAAAGTAATAAACCTTCATCAAATAAGGTGACATGGACAGTGAGCATACCGAACCACTGCCTAAATTGACGCGCAACGTTGGCTGAAGTAGGATTAAGTCATGAGAAGACTAAAAGTAGTCAAAAAAGACGTGGCACAAGTTGATCAAGTGTTTGAAATTTAGTTTGGGCTGTGCAGACCGCCTAACTGAGGTCCTCAAAACAATGTGAATCAAGAGTTAATGAAGGCATGTGTTGCTGACGTTTTTGATCCTGGTTTTGACGTCCTGATCTGTGCCACCTCCACCTGTAGTTGAAACGATGCTGCCTAGGTAGGTGGGTCGGTGAAAGAGACTACTTTCTTTAGGTTTCTCCCGTTCATGGTGATTGGTGCTTGTTGATGATGTTGTTGTCGGTTGGGTAACTTCATCATCTCTGTCTTCTCTACATTCACTTGGAGGATGTCTTGTCTCCACTGCCTCGCCTACTCTGTCAACTAGTTGGTTTTTGCCTGTAGATCTTCGAGTTTTCGCAACATTAGACATAAATCCTCATCGGTCCAACCAGCGTATGCCCATCTTCTCGCTCTTCACAGTTTCTCGCATCATCCAGTCTAGTCCAGTCGACCACAATGAGGAAGATGATCGGTGGTAGTAGACGGCAACCTTGTCTTACCTGTCGACCTGTCTTCACTTTAAAAGCGTCACTAAGCTTTCCATTGTGAATTACCTGGCATGTGGCGTCTTCATATAGTTGTTGAATGAGGTTGATAACGGTTTGTGGCACAGGAACCGTAGTGGTGAAGCAGCTGCTTGCCAAACTACTTCTCGGTCGATGCTGTTGAAGGCCTTTTCAAATTGGATGAAGTTGAGGTAGAGAGTTGACTGCCATTGTATGTTGTGTTCTATGATGATGATGCGTAGCGTTGCAATTTGGTTCGCACATGATTTGTACTTCGTGAATCCCACCAGCCTGTTCCGGTCATAATTTTTAATGGAGAGCATGTTTTAGTCTCTCCAGGATGATGCGGCATAATATTTTGCTTGGGTTGGACAGGGACAGGAGGATTATTCCGCGTCAGTACTTGCAAAGACTTAGGTCGCCCTTCTTCGGAAGTTTGACAAGGTAGCCCTTCTTCCAATCAATCGGCAAACCTTCTGCAATAGTGGTGTTCATGTCCGCTGTTGTCTCTGCGTCTGTTTTCAGTGTTTGTGGAGGAATTCCATCTGGTCCTGCTGCTCTCTAGGATTTCAGCAGCTTTTTTGCGTCCAGCACTTCAGTTCGGTTTTTGTCGGAGGGCTTGTGTTCACTTGTAGTTCTATGGCTGCTGGTGATATTTCTGGACGAGTTGCAGATGTTGGTGGTGCTCGATTCAAGAGCTTTTTAAAGTGGTCAGCCCATCGTTTCCTTTGTTTCTCCTCTTTGGTAACTGGCTTTCCTTCACTATCCTTCATTGGTTTCATCTGAGTTGATCTCTTCCCAGATAGTAACCTGGTCATTTGATATAGTGTTGTCAGCAGCAGCCTGTTCTGCTTCACTTGCCAGTGTGTCGTAGAAGTGTCTTTCGTCTTTCCGCGCACTCTTCTTCACTTCTTTATAGGTTGTGTTCAGTTCCTCTTCTCGTTGTTCATCCCTGCACTGAACTGCACTGGTTCATCTTCTGCTTCACCATCCTCCTCTCCTCTATCAGCTTCCATGTCTCCGTGGAGATCCATTCCTTATCTTCTCTCTTCTTCCTTCCTAATACGGTTATACAGGTTTCTTTCCACATCTCTTTCAAAGAGTTCCAGTGTTCATCCACACAGGTTCCTTCATGGATGTTGCTAAGTATCTCCCATTCCATGTCCCCATGTTTGCTTTTGCTTTCGTCGTTAGAAGAGAAGATACATTGGCCAACTTGCTTCCCAAAGGCTTTCAGCAACCGTTGTCATCTCGTCTCTCCGATTGCAGCGTGGAATATGTTTGTTTCCAATTTTCAATATTTTCTTTGTTGTTTGAAGTTTCTTTAGCGGTTAGATTTTTTTTATTGGGTAGGGTTGCTATTCCTATGCCCAAGCTTCCCTCTTTATCTGGTTTTAGTACCGGCTATTAACTAGTGAACTAGTTACCTTGGCTCGTTTACTGTGGGAAATAATTGAGCAGTGCTTAGAAGATAGAAAGTTTATACAAAAGGAAGCAGACAGGAACAGTAGAAGACCAAAAAGGGTTAATAGACGAGCAATCCTAACAGTACATTCAGTGAGGTTTAAATTACTGGCGTTTCACACTTGACTAGCAGAATAAGCACGAAATCCACGGTATGGTCGCCACCGATTTCCATTCTGTGCTATATCTGCTATCATCCCAAGCCGCTGATTTCTGTAGTCTTCAGGGTTCTATCCACGGAGTCATTAGATATCAGCATATACTAGCATTACACGACTATCCTTCATTCCATGTGGCCACTGATCATGTATTCTAACCAGCTTCAGGGGTAGGTGACCACTAGATGGAATGATAATATGTAGGATGGCATTCGTAATGTATGTGACGTGGAAGCCAGTGTTTCAGTATGATCTTCCCCAGTGGATGACGATCTCCAAACACACAATGCCTCACTTTAGAATTACTTACATGGTGTTTTCGTATGATGCTTGCAATCCTACGGATATTACAGTGATCGAATATGCAGATTCATTGAACATCCTCAGCTTGGAGAGACGAGGATTCATAGACATTGAGTAGAACTTGTTACATCGATATTTTGCGGTCATAGCTGCCTCAACTGTGACCCAGAATATGCCTTTTTAATCGTCTCTTTGCGGTTGCAAATCTCACCAGTCACGCGTCCACCAACATTCAGGCACAAATATATCGGAAATTTCCAACGGTTCATGGCGGCTGGCCACTACTAATCTTGTAACAGCATTTTCGACTTCGATTGTGTGAAATATATTTTACTTAAAATAAATGTTCTGTTGCATTCCCTATAAGGATCGTACTATAATTTAAGAAATAATACTGGTGATTAAAATCCCTCCGTCCATTTGCCATCCTGTTATCTGCGGCTCGCACTGTAACTTCCTTTGTAAGTCAACTGATTTACATCAAACATTTTCCTCAGTTACATGGTTGTGGTATCCTACTTTAGTAGGGAAGATAGAACAGACGGTCCTGAGTGTATATTATTTTCTCCACCTTTCTCATAATTCCAGGCGTAAACACAGTAAACTAGTCGTATTGTCAACATACGTTTTTCATAAGTGCATGCCAATAATTTATTTTAATTTTCAGATAGACATTGTTTTCACAACAATTTATGATGTTATTTCTTCAAACAACAGGCCTCCCAAAATAGAAATACCATGTTAAATGATACTAATCCCTCGAGTGCATCTAACTGTCAGACGTTAATCGAGCATTCAACGTGCATCAATCCGGGAATTGATAACGGTGTTGAAAAGCCGTCACCCAACTGCCAACCTTCTGCATCATCCTCGACTGGTCCGATATCATATACTGCAGAAAAAAGTCGAACTTTTTGTGAAAATTTCTCTGTGAACGATGAGTCTGAAATGGTATGACTGTGGAACTTTTGTTCTCATTGTAATTTATGCAATTATTTGATGAGAAATATTGTAGTGTTCTGTGTACATTTCGTTAGGCATCAGATATTCCTTTTGACGACTGCGTCGTAACATATTGTATTTGCGTGCTAACTGTATTCGTGAGAAAAATAAGTGAAGCTTTGAGGTTCATATTGGTAAATAGTGTATCTTACTTCCTGTAAGTCAATTTGTTTTTAGGCGTTTCGATAGGATCACATATCTGTTGTAGCGTAAATTCCATTCTAAAACATGGTCCAAATGAAGTATCAAAATAAACGGAGCCGTGACTCACTTGTCTAAGTTCTCAACTTTTAGGTAAGGGGTCACGGTTTCGAATGCTGCCCTACAGCAGTCATCAACCTTCACTCAGTAGGTATGGCTCATTGCCTTTTGTATGAAAATGCACATGGTTACTGACAGTTTTTTTCTTCAGTTCCTTGCTAAATAATATGATAACATTATGAAGCATAGAGGAGTGGAAGTGAAAATCTACCGGGAAATGAATATTAGTCGCATAAACTACACCCAATAGGCTTTTATTATCTTCGTGTTTTTTTTTCTTCAAATAGACAGCACACGACACAGTGGTCTCTGATTTTGATTATACTTCATAGCGATTCAGTTCTCCATTTAGCGCGTGGCTCTTTTTAACGGAAGTTGGGAGGTGTTTTTAAAAATAACATAAGAATTACATAAAAAGCAATTTTAAGTATTATGCGACATTTATTGTTTATGTAGTGTAGAGTACGAATGAAATTGATGAACAATCACTGTTGAAACATTTTTATGTGTGTAATGTATAATTTGACGTCTCTTCCTATTAGCCATGGTCATACACTAAATCACCATGTATAAAGTAGCACATACGTATGTGACACGGTCAAGTCAGTGATATAGTGTATTCAACTCTTAGTATCGTATTTATACAACCAACAGGCGATGAGTTTCTTTCTGCTCAACTAATTCAGGGGTCACATTTATCGTCATATAGTTTACCGTTTGCACTACAATTGTTACAATAAATAGGTTATATAAAACCATATGATATACTCGCTGCTATTTTCAATGTCGTTTCTAGCATTATCAGTTTTTGATAAAACTCATCTCGTATGTCTATCGATGTATATGTTTCAGTCTCTTCGATATCCTATCAAAATACTAAATTGAAGTACTTCTTGATATGCTTTTCTTGTTTTCACTTTTTAGTTAGGTGTCTCTGTAGAAGATCGTCTGTATGGAATGTGGCGTCAACTCATACCACATTGTGCATCAAATAATATATTAGTGTGGGCCCACCAAAGAGGTGCCCATGCATTTATTCATCCATTCAAACCAATACCTGGTGCATTCCCAGGATTTTCGACACCGATCACAATTACTTCAAATGTTGTATCTTCCGTTCCCAATGATATCATCAAGCAAGATAAATCAGAAGAAAGTCATCAACTTACAAACAACCAACCTGATTTTGTCATCTTATCTTCGACTAAAAATATTCCATTGAATTCAGCATCACATAGTAAGGATTCTGACAATCAGTTTGATCTACAGAATGATTTGACTATAAAGGATCATCCGCGCACTGAAGTGCAAACAGACGAGAGTTTGCAATCCTCAATTTTACGTTCAAAAAGATTGAAGTAAGTTTGTGATTAATATAGTAGATTACATTAGTGCACACGTAAAATAGTCTCTTATCCGTACGTAACAGTTCTGATGACACTGTAAGGCCTGTTTCCCAGATTTACCTTATCAAATAATATCCTCTAGGGATATGTAAGTTTGAAACAATTAGTCCTTTTAAGGAATTCCTATAACATAATAAGAAGACGTAGTTTATCTGGAAAGTGTGATGTATTTCCGCCATACATTTTGACCAATCTCAGTAAATTTACTTGTTAAGGCGTTCTATGTATAAAAATGGAAATGAAGGGGAATATTTTCTACAAAGATTCGGTTATCAACCTCTCGCTCCACCCTGCTATGTTAGTTTTAAAGAATTGTCACCCTGTCTCGTCCCATTGTGTGGTTGTGTTTACTTCCATGCGGGGCTCTTTTCCACATTACTTATCTGGCTAGGATCTAACAATTTTGAAATCAAGATTTAGTTAGGTTTTTATGCTCGGATAGTCTAATTTACCCTAGTCAACTACTTTGACCTATGTGTTTGACCTTACAATCGTTGCAAGGGATTTGGTAAATCAAATTATTCTGCCTAACTGGATCAATAGGATTATCTAACCTACAAAGCTTATTTCTAAGTAAGTTTGTAGGTTTAAATCCTACTCTAATCCCAGCCCTATTGAGAATCCTATGTGATGTCTCTGAGGTACCTTCATCGTATGGTAATACTATAGAGATTTTGAGTTCTCTGTTTAGAGTATGGGCACTATTATTATTATTAACTGCGTTACTGATATCAGTCATATTTTTATCATTCTTACTAAGGAACTTATTAATTAGTGCAGGAGGGTAATTGTTGATCAGTAAGGTGTCCTTAATGTATCTGATTTCTTGTCTTAGATCTTCTGTTTTACTAGTAATTTATTGGCCCTATTACCCAGACATTTTACCAAGCCAAACTGACCTGAAAAGGTGGAACGATTTGAAATCTAAGTAATCATTCGAATGTGAAGGTTTTCTGCAGACACTAGTGTCTAAACTCCCATCTTGTTTCCGTTATATTTTGCAATCCAACATCGCTAATTCCCCTTCATTATTTTCTAATTCATAGGCTAATCGAATCACTTTGACTGTTGGATCTATGTTTGTAAAGAAACTGTGTATGTGCTCAGATTTCAACAGTGTAAACGTGTCACCTACATATTGAAGCCATACTTTTGGAGTAGGACTAAATGTTTCGGCAGCCACCCGTTCTCAACTTTTCATTAATATGTCTGCCACAATAGGGGATATCGGTGGTCCCATGGCGGCTCCTGCTTTTTGTATATTTTATTCTGAAACCTAAAGATTGTGGAGGTTAGGCATAGCTGCATTCCTAACATCATCCCATCACTGACACCTTAGTTCGTAAGCTCATGGTCATTATTGAGATCATTTCCAACTGCTTCCAGAGCCATGCCAATCGGTATATTAGTATACAAACTAAATACGTCAAAACTGACTATTTTTCATTGTCATCTAATCTATGCTTCAAGTCATGAGAGTAAGTAAGTCTTGATTTGAAACGGTCTCTAGCTGGACTTAGTACCATCACTAAATATGTGGATAACTCATAAGTAGAAGTGTTTCTATAGTCTATTATGGATTTAATAGGGTAACCTGACTTATGAATTTTAATAGTATTACAAATTATTATTAGTTAAATTAAACTATTTCGACTCACTAGACCCCAGTGGCGCCTAGTTTATAACGCTTTGGCGTTTAATCGATGCTAGACTCTCAACGAAAAAAACATAACTGATTGGAGTGCAATACATCCAACTGACGAGTCCGAAATATGCCGAATGCACGTCTTAGATCCCACTGCTAGCCACAACCAAGTCAATTATGGCATAACTGCTACGTTGAAGTCAAGTCCTTTCACCCGTACTTTTGTTGAACTTAAAACTAGTTGAGAGGTTGACAGCCCACTTTGTTTTATCAATGAGTGGTGATGTGCTATTGGGAATCTTATTATTCTCTACGAGTTACTTCTTTTCCATTCAGTTGTTGAACTTCTTGGACTTTTTAAAGGCAGCTGATCTCCCTTTGTTAAAGTTATCGACCAGGCGTTCATAACCCTTTTCATCAACTATTTGCATCAGTTTACAGTTTAGTTCCTCAATATAACTACAGACACTGTGCAACTTCTTGACTATTCTATGCTTTTCTTCTTTTAGACAGATTTTATGATACCTTGCACTGCTAATTTCACCTTGTTTGTTGAACTTGGAGTATGTCGATGTAGATATTTTAGAGTGATTTGATTTTCAATGCATCGAATATTGAATATAAGATGATTTATGAATCTGGCTTACTGAAAGTTGTAGAGCAACAAGTATGCATATAACAATTGAAAGAGGATCTTTTTTAGTTGTTTTGGACCTTGTCTCGTTTCTTGTTAACCCCAAGTATCTCAAATTATAGTGGAGCTGTGACTCAGTGGTTTAGGGAGATGACTACCAACCAAATAGGTCAAGGGTTTAAACGCCGTTCCACCTACCAAGGTTTGGTGTGGCTCATTGCCTACTGAATGAATGTGCACAAGGCTGCTGAGTGCGTTTCACGATCTAAAAATGCCAACTAACATCATACAAGAAGTGAATAACAACAATAAAGCACTTAAGATTGTGATATGGTCGCTGAAGGGTTTCACTGTGTTGGTTTCGATTTCATTGTCTGCTTTTCATTTTATCTTAAGCTGATATCAGTCACTGAAGAAAACTGCTTTCAAGTCAACGTACTCCCCATCAAAGGTTTATGTTTTAAGAAAAAAAGTTACAGGAACATTTTCGTATCACCTAGCTGTTGTTATCCATCATTTTGCCAGTTAATTGCCTTTTTTGAGTAGCAAGCAAACTTTTTTTAATTGTTACTTTTTTAGCTGTACAGTTTTGTCAGCTGACGTGATATCCCAATTGAATTATAAAAAACCTCGTTTGTTCAGTGAATTGTCGAATAATAATCCTGTTTCCATGGAAAATACTTCTATCGTTGAATCAAACGACAATAGTGATAACGTTCATAATGATGTCACTGGGATGAGTAAAAGATCTGATTCACGTTTTTCAAGAAGACGACATTCATCTGCTCAAGCTATGTTAAGAATGTTTCATAGAAATGACAATGGTGCACGCAAGGGTTCGCATATTTTAAAAGGCTCAAATAATGCTTCAGCTCTAACTGAGAATGATTATACTCAAACTAAACATAAACTACCTCCAAATCCAACTGAAGCACCTAGTGACACTGAAAAAATCAAGGCTAAAGGTAACTTTTTCTGACTTAGTCCGTTGCTTCACACCGTATGTTTTTTATCGATGAATTCTAAACCTTTTTTGTGATTACACAATCAAAATTAAGATACTTGTGGTTTTTAATTCCTAACTATGTTTTAAGGTTTATAACACGTCCAACAGAACTACTCAGGTGGAATGGCACTGGTTTTTTCACAGGAATGTATAAGTTTTTGTACCTCTTACTGACACGTTAAGATGGACATAAAAAAATAAGCGTAGAGAGGTATGAAGATGAATCAAGAGAACTAGCGTAGACAGTAAATAAGTAATTGGCTTCAATAGAATGAAGAATTCAAGATAAATAGAATAACTCAATGCAGATAATACTGTTATACCACTTAGCATAGACCATGCTACGAAAAAGACTTTGATTAGCGGGAAGTGATCAGTTAGATAGTTTATTTTTAGGTGTTCAGATACCTCGCTGACACCGAAAATACTGTACAAAACATCCTGCATTTCAGTAGTGTATGCATGCTCTATTACTACACATCTGAGATTCTCGTGAGAAAGTCAACATGCGGTTGACCGTTGAAGGTTCACACAACTGTCTCCACCAAAATGTCAACGATAAGCTAAAAAAAACATTGAAAATCACTACTTCCTTCAGTTTTATTCGTGCAAATGACATTACATGACTAAGAAAAGGAGCGTACGGGGATTGATTTACTCCTTTCCAACCTTCTTCTTGACACTGATTGGCTATTTGATATTATAAGGTCAGATCACATTTATTCTGCCGGATTGACATCCTTATACATTAACAACTTTCAAATCACTTCATCATCTGTATCTGAACCATAATTAAACACAACGTATACAGTCAGTCAGTTAGAACATAGAAGTTTGATTTACTGCTACTCGTTCACTTAAGTCCTGTGATCGTCACTACTCGATTACAGTGACTGAACAGTACTGAGTGTTTTTGTCAATACACTCAACTCATCCATAAATCCACATTAGACTCCTCAGTAAGCAAACCTAGAGAACGTAGATAACAATGTTCTGTTATTTGACGATGCTGGCAACAGGCAGAGTCATCTGAACACCTTGAGTGGCGAATTCACAATGCATGAGATACGTTTCTCACCACCAAGATGCAAACTGTTGCTCCACAAGTGGTCTGAGTTGGCACTTCATTTAACAATAGGTAGTGAAATAGTTCGGTCTGTTGACCAGTACTTCACGTACTTGGGAAGTCGTATCGGTCCTGGTGGGTAAGTGACGGACGAAATCCCTGCACGTCGAGGTGCACAAGGTATGTTTGACTTTCGCCAAATTACACTGTTTATGGTGCCATCGTGGTACCTGATTACTGGTCAAGAATCGAGTCTACTGCGCTGCAGTGTACAGTTCTACCATATGACTGTGAAACGTGACCATTGAGAGTAAAGGATGTGAGGAGGCTTCAGTTGTTCGAACACCGTTGTCATGTGTCGTGGTGCCGCCACCACGTCAAGTGTGGAGTAGGATTCCAAGTAGGAGAGGTAGGTCAGTTGATGCACTTGTGAACCTTCATCTTCTGAGGTGGCTGTGATATGCGTTGTCACCATCTGCCTCATCATGTAATGTTAGCTGAGATAGTTAGGTTCAAGTTGGAGAAGAGTTACACCTGATCAGACTAAAACATGACAACCGATTTAGACTGTTGTTCTGGGCCATGTAGAGAAATGTAGACTTCCGGTTCGGGGTCAGCTTGTCAACTGAAATTAGTGCTTTAGGCTGTGGTTGATATGCATGGGAATCGATTATTTTGATGCAGATGCATTCACACTTTATCTTGATCTTCACCGTCATGCTGACTTCGGTTATTCTTTTAGACTTTTGTTCTCCTTTTTCGACCTTTTACCACTTTTAATTACTTTCTTCCTCCTTTTTCTATCCTGCATCTTGGTGCTTCCTACCTTGATGTGCTGATATGTGGTGCAGCGACTTGACAGATAGCACAGTTTAATACCAGATACCACATTGATACTAATCAACTGAATTTTATATATTCTTATGTTACTGGTAATCAGAGTTTATTGTTGTTCAATATATATATATATATATATATATATATATATATATATATATATATATATATATATATATATATATATATATATACCCGTCATAAAACCACAGGTACAATTCTAGGCGTAGTGATGAACACTTGTTTCCCCTTCATTTTGAGGCAAATCGCGAATCACGAATCACTTTCTATTGTGCAGGTTTTTCTTTAATCTACAAGACAGAAACTTGTGAAAAAAACAATGTTAGTGATTGATGACTAAATAGTCGTATAATCTGTATTCTATGCTAAACACGCAATTCAGTTCTGCTATTGTAAACTAAAACCTTGGTACTCATGATTTCAGATTCTGCTACAAGTTCTTGGCGCGATCGGCGTGTTTATGGACCATGGAGACGTCTTATTACTCCTGAAGCTTCACGACGAGCATTGCTTTTCACAGAAAACCTACGACGTCAAAAAGCTACCTATTCAGAACAATTTGAAAAGAGGTCATATTGTAGCCGTTTGCCAGGTGCAAGTGGTAGTGACTCGGATGCGACGCATTTCGCTGAGTGTGGTGGTGCTGTTTCACGAACTGTTGGAGTATGGTCGGATAATGATGCGCATAATAATGAAAATAAACTCCTGGATGTACGTTTAGCTCGAGCATGGCAACGTAAAGCAGAACGCATGTGGCTTGAACTGAAGAGCCGCGTTAAAGCTGTTGTATTTACTGACTCAGCAGAATTACTAGATTTACGTTTAGAAGGCGTTGGTTGGGGACTAAATTTACTTCAGGAACATGAAAGTGACAGTGAACTTCCGTTTATATATAGATCTTCAGTATACCGAGAAGAACTACCAGAGAAGATAATAAATTTCAGACAGTGGTTATCGCAGGTATGAAAGTTCAACATATTTTTAAAATATTTTTACCAAAGCTCAATCTTGTTTGTGTATACTTACTAAGCTATAAGGTTCACCTGGTGTGTGAGATCTTATGATACTACCTGATTGCTTAAATCGATAGCTGACAGAAAGAGGGTTGCAAAATATTACCTGGATAATTAATATAGCTGAACTCAGTAAAAGGTTATCTCCACTGAGTTCCGAGCTATGCTGTGAAAGTATGATACTACTCAGTTGCGTACTCCATACGCTATTGAGTGAAGAATAGCACATTAGCGTTGGGAGGGAAACATATTACGGAATTCAGAGTTGATTTCCACTTTTGATGGTTAGTAAAGAAACGTCAAAAAATCTTATTTCACTTTTGAACATCAAATCGTGACTAATTTAGATGATTTCCAAAACTGAACATCTGAAGCCCACTCATTATAATTTGAATGTAATTGTACTTTTTATCCCTCCTAAAATTTGAGTTTATCTATCCATAAACAACTGTTTATCAAGATATTTTTCAGAGGACTTTTTCGTCAATACTTCATCATCTGTTGAATATCAAATGAGACTTTGAGAATGTCAGTCATTTAGCGCTTAGACTACTATGCATGTGTGAATATTTTCCTATATATCACACGGACTAATACAGCCTTTTATTATTTTTTACCGTCTAGCATTCAGTAAACTTCATAGCAGCCGATTTGGAGACAGGCACGCGCCTGAATGCACAAATCGATACTCAGGAGCATGTAATCCCAATACTGTCATCCGGTAAGTAATATACATTATATATATATATATATATATATATATATATATATATATATATATATATATATATATATATATGAATTTTTCCATAGTGTTCTAAATGAATGGTACAAGATTATTGCTACTGCTACTGTTCGCAAATTAATTTTTTCTTTACTGTACGAATAATGCTGTTGACGGTTGAAAATTCGCTAAAAGGTGTTGTTTTTATGCGCGTTTGTTGTGATGTGACGCTAACCTCCAACGACGGAACTTAGTGATTTAAGTGTTTGAGCCTTGAAAGATGGATTTTAGGGTGTTGTTTTGGATGGTTTATTGATGAAGCTGTCATTCTGACCTTAGATATCATTTGCAGTACAAATTCTGTAAGAAGCGAATGATGAGAATTCCGTAACCGGTGATTCACTGGTTTGTCCTGTTTATATTACTTGTGATTAATTGTCTTTTTGTTTGTTGTTATGCTTCAAGCCTTTGGATACTTGTTTTGATTGACTGTCTTTCATAAGTAATCCGCGATATTGCAGCTGTCTACCATGTTGCTTATGGATTTATAAACTGGGTCTTTGTTGATTGGTAGTTTTTGTGCTCACCGTGTAAGATTCTATTTGTGCAGCTAGTCCATTGCTTCGTAGGATAATCGCTTACCATTCTGGTTTGCATGTAGGCCATAGTTATTTCATCCGACATGCTGTTCTTCCCAGTTGATTCAAATTATATATTGTATTCTACTCACAGTTGTCTTACGCTTCGTCTTTCGCTCTGCATATTGTCGATTTATGATATACGAGTCAGCTTGGAGATTCCAAAGAGCCTAAGAAATTTATTTGTTGATGATTTTGAAGCTTATTCCTTATTCAGAGGAAGGGAGAATCTTTTAGTTTTCACTGGTGATGAATTGAACAAACGTCTTATTACGAAGTAGCCATTTTTGTAAAAGAGACAACTAACGAGTAGTTTCGTGTTTTGTTTGCTCTCTTGAATAATACTTATGCTCCGTTGGTTTTCTGTTGTCGAACCATTGTTACTCTGTTTGAAAATGTGATCAGTGTGTATTAGTCTTCGTGCACATTAGAGTCATGTCGATCAAAGCGTCTATAAATGAAAACTGTTTTTTTCTTATTATTTCGCTTTCGCTGTTGATATCTTTTCTCTGAAAACGATGTTGTTCAGTTCTCAAGCATTCGAGTTTATCTGTTTATTTGTGATGGCTAATTATCGTCTACATTGCGTCTTTTTCTAAAGATTGTCGCAGAAGGTTGATAGAGCTATAGTACACGACTATTAAATCTAGTTTCAGTGAAAATTCCTTTAGTGTATAGAATTCTGCAGCCCGTTGAAATGAAATAGTTAACTCTTTATCTAGGACTCAGTTGAGTTAGCGATCAATGAGCATTCCAAATTAGACTCAGTTTACCAACCAATGAAAAAGGAGAAACAAGTGTATGGTCAGAAATCAGGTTGACAAAGCAGTTCGTGGAAACATTTGCATAGGCAATAACATTACACCTATATCTCATCAAGAGTATCTACACTGCAGCTTGTGCAAGCATTCTTGATGTTTGACTGCTTTTAAAGTTTGTGATGCGAATAAATTCTTCTAGAATGATTATAAGGAGAAGCTAATAGTTATTCCATCCGTTTTAGGGAACGTTTAACTACCAAAACCGTTTCATTACACAATATATGAATATTTTAGTCTGGCTCTTAGTGATTTATTTCCTAATTTATTTATTCGTTTTTTCTTTTTTACCACCATAGGCACAACTGAACATGATCTTATTCCCAGTACTGTACTAGATCACGTATTTGACTTTTTTCAATCTAAGTTGCGAGCATCATCTTTCGAAAAGGACAATCAGTCTGTTGATGAACACTGAAAGTGTTGCTTTATCATTGACCCCATCTTCACAGACCTGAGAAATAACTTTCTACTTCGCTAAATGAGTACATTCTTTCTTCAGTGTACAGAAATTAGATAAACTAAACTGTTTTGTCCAATAGGCTCTTTTGAATCCGTTGGTCTACAAAGCTTTTTTCTTAGTTTATCAGATTCCATGGATGGTTGTGAGGTCAAAGTAGTCAAACGGAGCCAATCAGAATAACGAAGCACGAAAAACTTATCAAATCTAAAATGGTAAGCCTTACTAATTTAAGAAATCTATACAGCCAGTACTATGCCTTCGATCACACATGAACATAGAAAAGGATAGTGTAAAGTGACAGTCCTAAAAACTGACTTGTCAGGGTGGAGGGAGAATTTGATAAGTGAAGCTTTTTTCATTGAATACATGCAATTGGAACAATTCAACATCTATTCGAAGTATTTGGAAAATTCTACTACCCATACGACAAATAAGTAAGACGAAATTGAACTACAAGAGCAGGGTGTAACAGGTGTGGGATTACCTTTGTTATGCATATGAACAGTGAATTCCATTTGAAACGTGATCCAGTAAGTAATACTGTTGAAATATTCAGCAAACAAATTAACGTAGAATTATGCTGCTTCTACTCTTACATTATCTGTTGAGAATGCTGATCTAGCGTCATCTACTATTTCTTGCCCGTATGCCAGCTACCGAACAGAAAAATAGGCTTTACATTCCTGGTGCTGAATCCAACTTGACTTTCTTCTGTGAACATGGAAACTCGCTGTCGTCTAGTATTTTGTCTAGTTTCTAGCGCGAAGGACTATTCTCATAGGCATATGGAGTAGTTGAATAGTATTCATAGAAACCTGCAACCCATCTTGAAAGTCTGCATCTCCATACATGACTAAAACCCCCAACCAGGAAACTCGTACACACTCGTTTCACGTGTTTCTATGATAGTGAATTAGTTGACAAAGAGAGTACGTCTAAAGGAGTTGGAAAACCGTGATTCACAACGAGTCGTGTACAGGGGTCTCACCATTCAGGACGGTGTCTAAACTGTCTTAGTCATCGACAACCAGCACCTCACTTTACTCCGCTGCCTTGTGAATTAGAATTCAAGTCAAAGACTCTGGGAGTGGTTCTTAAGATAACTACCTACTTCGGTTTGTGTAATGTCACAGCCCGCATACAGTTTAAGGGTCAGAACAAACAATGGGGATTGGTAAGCTTTCATCAAATCTCCCTGCATAAATCAAAATTCAAGACGTAACGAACTGTCTGCTCAATCATTCTACTTGTCCTTATTTCCTGGTTATTCTTACTTAAGAACTACACTCTCTTTAGGTTATCATTTTCAAATTTATACTTATATGTATCTTTGTTTCACTCAGCTGTTGGTCTCTGACTACAGTCCTGGATGGTCTGTTTCGTTTTCAGTCTCCAAGTAGTTGCTTCCAGAAAGCTGTTCTTCAGTAAGATATATTACACAACTATTCTGAAGCCGTGCAACTTCGTGATACTTGTCGGTGTATTTTGGCAGACAGTGAGTCTAACGGTCCCCCGCGCTATAGAGCAAACAGCATTTGCATGGAGACCGCGAAGTCTAGAGGTTATAGCACGCGAGTAAAATGGATGCAGCATCTGCTTGCGGTTATAGTCGAAGGCTGTTCCAGCTTATCTGGGCAACGGGCAGCATTAAGCTTCGTGTCAATGAGACCTGTTGGGGCTAGACAGAGCTGCTCACTTTCGCCATTTCTCATCAACTTGGCCAGCGTTGATATTCTCACTATAGCCCTTAAAGAAGTATGTGCTGATGTTGTAGCCCTGTTTCTAGGTGAGACGGTTCAACCTCGCGAATGTGGACGGTAACTTTTAATTGTATGACAACTTATAGGTTGCTCAGTCACTTGATCATCAGTGTTCACGTAGTATATGCTTTGCATCGTCGCGATGCAAATACGTTTATGAAATTGGCAGGGGCATGTGCTTGAACTCACTGTTGGTGGTGAATCACCTGGAATTTGTCGAAAAGTATTTGTACCTCAGTAGTTAGGACACATCACATATCAATGTGACGCAGATCGTCATTTATTGAATTTGGTCATCCTAAGCTACGGTTTATGTGGTTTAAACATATGTTTCGCGTGTCGTCCCAGTGGCTGCTATTTTGCTCATTGTTCGCTTGCCTGGAACTGGATAGAAGTGGGTTGGTGGAAGGCGTACGACATGGTGCTGTGGGATGACAAGTAGCTGTGCTAGGTTAGCATTTGTTAGTGTCTCACGACTCTGGATGAAATTCAAGTAAATAATCAAATCTGGGACTTGAGACGATAGCAAATACGATTCAAAACAGCTTCATAAACCGATTCTTTTTTAGTATCGCTGCCTCTAAACTTTTTCCAACGTAAACCTGTCCTAGTTAGCTGACCCCGAACCGGAAGTCTACATTTCTCTACATGGCCCAGAACAACAGTCTAAATCGGTTGTCATGTTTTAGTCTGATTAGGTGTAACTCTTCTCCAACTTGAACCTAACTATCTCAGCTAACATTACATGATGAGGCAGATGGTGACAACGCATATCACAGCCACCTCAGAAGATGAAGGTTCACAAGTGCATCAACTGACCTACCTCTCCTACTTGGAATCCTACTCCACACTTGACGTGGTGGCGGCACCACGACACATGACAACGGTGTTCGAACAACTGAAGCCTCCTCACATCCTTTACTCTCAATGGTCACGTTTCACAGTCATATGGTAGAACTGTACACTGCAGCGCAGTAGACTCGATTCTTGACCAGTAATCAGGTACCACGATGGCACCATAAACAGTGTAATTTGGCGAAAGTCAAACATACCTTGTGCACCTCGACGTGCAGGGATTTCGTCCGTCACTTACCCACCAGGACCGATACGACTTCCCAAGTACGTGAAGTACTGGTCAACAGACCGAACTATTTCACTACCTATTGTTAAATGAAGTGCCAACTCAGACCACTTGTGGAGCAACAGTTTGCATCTTGGTGGTGAGAAACGTATCTCATGCATTGTGAATTCGCCACTCAAGGTGTTCAGATGACTCTGCCTGTTGCCAGCATCGTCAAATAACAGAACATTGTTATCTACGTTCTCTAGGTTTGCTTACTGAGGAGTCTAATGTGGATTTATGGATGAGTTGAGTGTATTGACAAAAACACTCAGTACTGTTCAGTCACTGTAATCGAGTAGTGACGATCACAGGACTTAAGTGAACGAGTAGCAGTAAATCAAACTTCTATGTTCTAACTGACTGACTGTATACGTTGTGTTTAATTATGGTTCAGATACAGATGATGAAGTGATTTGAAAGTTGTTAATGTATAAGGATGTCAATCCGGCAGAATAACTGTGATGTGTCCTTTCTTTGCAATAGGTGTTGCCGTAAAACGCTTTGACATAAACGGTCGAATTCCACCTCTATCTCACCAAATGCATGAATTTGTAGGTACCTGAGGCTCTGCCTGATCTTCAGGATTTGGTGGAGGATAAATATTTGGTTGATTCCTCCACGACCAGGTCTAAAACATGCTCGGTTTCCTTGGGTCTTCTGTTGTCGAAATGTCTTTAGACGTCTAATAATTTGAGAACCTGGAATGTTACATACTTTATTCGTCAGACTTTTTCGTGGAAGACTATCGTAAGAGGACTTCCCTGCTTTGTTAGAGATATTGATTGGTCGAAATCAGTCAGAGGGGATCATTTCATAATCAACACTTCATCTGACCTAACTAATGGTCCTGGATTATCCTCCGTAAATTTCTCCAGTACTAAACCATCTATTCCTGGTCTTTTCATGGAACTTGCACACTTCTCAACTTCAGCACGAGTTGGAGGTTGTATGTCAATACTCCGTGTTGGATCCAAATGGTTAATGGGCGACGGAATAATAGCCTAAGACCTGCGGATTAATGAGTAGATATAAGAGAGACAATGATGTTTTTACTATTCTTGTTCGTTCTCACTACATCCAGTCAAGTAATGCACAGGTTACTGTTGACTGGAATGCAGTCGAGTTGCACACTTTCTACTGTAACACATTGTTATGTTTACACTTATAAGACCGCAAATTCCAGTCATTAAATCTCCAGAAAGTGGAAGGTTGAATTTTCTTTGATCTACCACGTTGACGGAGTGAAGTTAGTTGGATAATCACACTTGGGTTCTGTATACGAGTCTCACAGACATTACACGCGTCCTTCCACCGCGAGATCAGGGTGTGCTTGTGAAGCTTTTTTTCAGTTGAAAACAAGTAGCAGACATGGAAATCTCCAATACTCAGTTTAGAGCGTGGTTTCCGAATACCAGCGATCTGTTCCATGAACTGGAGTCTTTGTCGAGAGTTGTAACGAATTGAAGGCGAAAAATTAGAAAATGAACTTGTTTAAGGCTGATGATGATTTTAAGTAAATTGAGTGTTTACAGAAATTTGATAACGGCTGACACCTCTGGACTGCTTGTAACTTTGAAATTTACGTCTTCTTGAGGTGCCTGAAGGAGAAATTGTATTAGTTATAATTGTGTGTGGCTATACAGTACCAAAAGTATCCGTTTAATGATGTTCACATGCTAACCTATTGTAAGTTTGGGACTTAGTTTTCATTGTTGAATTCAGCCAGAAATCCTGTATAGTCGGCCATCAATGATTACATAGTAGATTGTGCTGTTTCTAAGACCAATCTTTTCCAACCCTTCCTCTTCTCATATGAAGGGCAAAGCCAGGATTGACTGCTGGTTATCCTCTGGAAACGCCTTACTTGTCACACTTCCTTCAACCTGCTGTACTTCTTCTTTGTCGGACACTCATTACGATGGTGGAGGGCACAATACCACCAAGACTCATCATAGTGTTGTAATTTACTTTATAATGGCAGCTGCTTTTCTTCTCACCACCATCCAACGGACATTCCTGGTATAGTAGAAACTCAAGGAACAAGTATTCCACCAGAATAGCTTGTTGGTCTT